GTACATTTAGGGACTCATGAACGCATCTCGGTAGTTACATCAGCAATTTTCACTGTTATACACCTGAATTAACGCAAGGGAGAGGTTCTACATTAAGTGAATCAACCAACCGAAAAATAGTATATCCATTTCATCAAAACAGAAAGAAGACAAATGTCACGAGATATTAACATTTCGTTTGATCTCCTCAGTCGCTGACTTAAAACAAACAGGCACATTTATAGCACATGAGATTAATCAATTATGGTGATCGAACGTGTACAAGCATACAAAGATTATTAACATCTCGCGACATTTGTCTTCTTTCTGTTTTCATGAAATTTATAAAGGGAACTCAATGCTTCAAAATACATGCATTCTAAAAAATTCTGAATTTAAAATAACCCACCGGGGATGTCAATAATTTCCCTTGATAAATTAGTTTAATTTGAGAAAAGGCATTGATTCCATCCTAACGAGGCTACAACGGCTTGCGTACCACCATGACTTTGCGAGCTATACGGGATAGCTCTGCATATCTAATCATGCCTGAAAGGCCAATGGATGGAGGCCAGACGAAGCTCATTCTCACAAGGCTAGCTGCTTGGGCACCCAAATTCCTTTGACCATCCATGCTCGCCCTTAGAGAGGTCACTCTAGCAAATAAACACCGGGAGTGGGATACCTGGAGTTCCTCTCGACGGTGGGGAAGTCTTCGCACTTCACTGGACAACTTTTGTCCGCCGACGATGAGCAGCCCCCAGGGGTAAAAGTAATGCCCCGTCCACGTTATACATGTCTCATTGAGTGCATGAGGATACGGACAGGTCCCTAAAAGCGGACTATCAGTCAACGCACCAGCGAAAAACATACTAACCCAAAAACCTTCCGCGACCGGACTCTAGAAACTCCCATATAGGTGCTTCGATCACGCACCTGCGTTGGATCTATGCTCCACTGCCTTGTGGGTCAGAAATTTGAGTCATAGGCTCAGACCGGAGTTCTCAAAGAAAACGTCCTTCATCCATGTGGGCCGCCGCGAAGTATGTCGTGCCCTAAAGTCTTAGGTATTCGTTTGGAAAACTCCTCTCTCTGTCCTGTTCGGTTCTCTCAAATCGTACTAGATGTTTCCTGTTTGCACCACTCTTGGGATATCACTCGGCGTTTAACGTGTAAGGCGAACCAACTAGAAGTTATTAGATTTTTGAAACCAAAGCATCCTTTTCCCTTAAACGCACTTAATGGCCTCACGCCATCGGATCGGTTAACACACCGCCTTAAGCAGAACCTTGAAACTTGTGATTTAGATGTGAGCTGTGTCTCCGGAACAAGTATACAAGACCCTGGGGTGGTTCGTTAACCGACACCTTTGAAGCTGTTTGATATGACGGCCTGTCGACAATAGTTCTTGTGGATCTCAAATTACGCGCTCAACCTCCTAGTGTTTCTTTGCCCAAGTAAACAAAAACACTTGATTGTCGTAGACGCAGACGTTTGTTGGCGTATCGTGGCACTAGAAAGTATCCGATGCGTGCCTGTGACGACTAAACAATGCAAGCAAATAAATGCATTATCAAAGCGAGTGTCACGTTGCGTGAGTTCGAAAAGGACCCAGTCTGTATATACACCTAAGTGGAAAACTCAATATAACACAAGCAGTGAAGTAAATTACAGTGATTCAAAGTTGATTTTAAAGAAACCACTACTGGAAAACGTCCTCGTGGAATGCTCTTTTTCTTCATATAATCATCTTCACTACAGCTTCAAAACGGCACTTTTTCTTCTTGTCTTTATTTTCACTAAGTTTCCTAGTAGATCCATATACGTTGGACATGATCATTAAATCATGGACACGGAGCAACTTAATCGAACAGTGACCTTGCTAGCTGCAAGACAGGTTCAGTTTGCAAATAATCTTGGATAATTAAGGACTACAAGGACATGATTACATAATCATGGTTTACTTATCAGACCCAATATATATGAGTTTCTAGGATAAACTTTCCCCTTGATCACAACCAGTTCATACTGGAACTAGGCCGAGGTTATTCTTGTCCTGCCAAGATAAGAAGCCTTTTTTCTTAATCAGTCACAATCAAATGTACTATCGAGTTTTAGCACATGTCGCCATCATTTGACGATAGTTATTGTGGCGGTCCCAGCC